TCCTGAGCCCGTCGGCCCGTTCTAGCTCTGCATTCCCAACACAGCCTGAAGGTGAAGCTTTTGGAGGCTGGGTGCGAGGCCAGCGAGTTCCTGCAAGACCAAGACACGTAACCCAGCCCAGGCTGCAGCGTATCAGAACCCGCAGGCTGCCAATTCTCGCTACGCGTTTCTTTTTGCAGGAGTTTGTGATCACTGCTTTGAAGAGCCTGGGCTACGTCACGCTGATGTGTGGGGACGGGACCAACGATGTCGGGGCTCTGAAGCATGCGGACGTGGGTGAGTCCGCACGCAGGACTCTCACGCGTGCCCCTGCCTGAGTTCGGCTAGCGTTCCTAAACACAGACCCGGTGTTTGTTTCTCTGGTGTTTTGAGGGCTGGGATCGATCTGACCAACGTCATTTGGTGGCATAAACCAACATAAAGAAGGAGGATCTTTGTGCTGGTGGAATACCCGCTCTGTGCGCACCAGCAGGCAGCGAGAATTAGCTGCAAACACGTTTTCCTGGAAGAAAGACTCTTCCTAATTTTTTTTTTCTTCCTAAGCATTGCCTCGGCAAGCGTAACATGTCTGAGGTCCCTGCGTAACCAGCCTGCCCGCCTGACTCCAGGTGTAAAGAGCAGTTGGGGTTCCTACTCGGTGAAAATTCTCTGTCGGCAAAGGGATTACAGCCCTTTTTCCCTGCAGCTAATGTTTTTACACTCTTACAGGAGTGGCGCTGCTGGCAAATGCTCCCGAGAGACTGCCCGAACGGAAGAAGAGAACTCGAGATGGACCCGGCGATGGGAGGCCTGCTTTGCCGGCGCTGGGGAGCGGAACCGTGAAGCCCACCTCCCGTGGTGCCAAGCACAGAGTCATGTCCCAAAGAGAGGAGCAGCTGGCCATCCAGAGGGTTGGTAACTAGGTGTTTAGAAGCCCGTTAACTTATCCTTGCTCCTTGTTCCTCCTCTGGTTTACTGCTAATTCCGGAGAACTGGAAATGGCGGGATGTTCTGAGAAAAGACCAGCTTTTCCGCTTCTTATCCTGAAATAGCAGAAGGGATTTGGGCAGGGAAGGTGCTGCTTTTCCAGCCAGCCACCAGGCTAATGCTGCAAGCGGGAAGGCTTCTCAGCCTCACCTTGGAGCAGGGGTGCGGGAGAGGATAGCGCAAGGCCGTCTTTGATCCAGGTTGTGCTAACGAGGCGTGCGTTTGCATCGTTCTCTGATTCGCCTGCAGGAGCGGATCAGTCAGGTCCTGAAGGATTTGGAAGAGGAGCGCGTACCGGTCGTGAAGCTGGGTGACGCCAGCATTGCAGCCCCCTTTACCTCCAAGCTCTCTTCCATTCAGTGCAGTAAGTGCGTGCTGGGAGCTGAACAGTTGATGTGCGTCTCCGTGTGCCCAGGTTCCCCTCGGAACCTTATCTAGATAAGTCTAGATTTGAAAGAAGCCAAGACGGAAGGCGTGGGGTGGTGAGAAATGCCCCCAAAGCCATGGCTTTGCCAGCTTTTTGCGTGGAGCAGCCCTGGGAGGGTGTTTCTTAGATGGGGATGCAAGCAGCGAGGAGTTGGCTTCCCTCTGTCCTGCTTCGGAAACGGAGAGGACTGAGGGACAAAGCCCCAGAACTTGGTTTTTTTTGTTTTGTTTTGTTTTGTTTTGTTTTGTTTCCAAACGCTGCTTCCTCTTGCTCCTTAGTCTGCCACGTGATCAAGCAAGGTCGTTGCACGCTAGAAATGCCCCCAAAGCCATGGCTTTGCCAGCTTTTTGCGTGGAGCAGCCCTGGGAGGGTGTTTCTTAGATGGGGATGCAAGCAGCGAGGAGTTGGCTTCCCTCTGTCCTGCTTCGGAAACGGAGAGGACTGAGGGACAAAGCCCCAGAACTTGGTTTTTTTTGTTTTGTTTTGTTTTGTTTTGTTTTGTTTTGTTTCCAAACGCTGCTTCCTCTTGCTCCTTAGTCTGCCACGTGATCAAGCAAGGTCGTTGCACGCTCGTGACAACGCTCCAAATGTTCAAGATCCTTGCCCTGAACGCCCTGATCCTTGCTTACAGCCAGAGCGTCCTCTACTTGGAGGGGGTGAAGTTCAGTGATTTTCAGGCAACTCTGCAGGGTCTGCTGTTGGCTGGCTGCTTCCTTTTCATCTCCCGGTCAAAGGTGAGGGGAGGGAAGCGCGTCGGGAGAGCGGCTGGTCGACATCAGCCGTATCAGGATTACTGACGGAGCGCTCCTCTCCAAAAAAAGCTGCTTGTTTTAATAGGTGCCCAGTCCACGATGCTGGAGGGGGTGGGGTGTTGTGTTCCCCTGGATTTGGGAGGTTCCTGAGGCCAGCGCTTGCTTCAGGGAGCACCTTGGGATTGCAGGAAGGGCAGGTGGGGGAGGCGGGAAGGGTAACGCAGATAAAATGCCTCGATTGAGGCCGTTACTTGCACCAGCTAAGCTGTGGGTCTCACGTCTGCGTGAGATACGTGGAATCCAAGTGGAATTCTTGCCGACTGTTTCCTGAGAAACACAAATATTAGTTGGATTCTGCTGGAAAACCGCCGAGAGATGGTCCAAACCAGTCGGGTCAACCCTGCTTGCTTTTCTCTGCCAGCCTTTGAAGACGCTTTCCAAGGAGCGCCCGCTGCCCAACATCTTTAACCTCTACACGGTCCTGACAGTGCTGCTGCAGTTCCTCGTGCATTTCCTCAGCCTCGTCTACCTGTACCGCAGCGCCCAGGCGCGCAGCGATTCCAAGTAAGCGTCTCTTCCTCCGACCCTGGAATGTTTTCTCCAGTTGCTGCTGAGCAGGAGGGTGGAGAGAGGCCTCCCCCACCGCAGCGCTCTGTCGGTGAATGCTTTATGGAGCGCGCCAAGCAGTAGGAGTTCGATGTGCTAGGTCCAGAAAAAGCATTTCTGAGTTGTACCTGGAGCGCGTCGGCAGGATCCCGGCACGGATGGGAGGGAACTGGCGGGAATACCGTCTGTGATATGGTCTATGGAGGGGAAAAGGAAATAGAAATAACAGCAAGGAGGTGGATTACCGGAAAGTTATAAAGAAAAACACACAAAAACCTATTTTTTTTTCCCCACTTGATTTTTATTTTGTGAAAAAGAACGCAATGATTACCTGTGCTCGCAGCACCCGCGGCTCCGCTCTCACCCGTGCGAGCGGGGGTGCTGCTGCTGGGAGCCACCCAAGTCTGGGAGCAAACTGTTGTGGCCCAGCAAAACTTGCACGTAGCTGAAATCAGCTGTAGCTGAATAAATTGGTGATTGAGTCCGGTCCGCTGATCTCCAGCTTTGTTCCCTTTTAGGCAGGAGGAGTTTGTGGATCTGTACAAGGAGTTTGAGCCCAGCCTTGTGAACAGCACCGTCTACATCATGTCGATGGCGATGCAGATGGCCACGTTTGCTATCAACTACAAGGCAAGCCCTGTTTAAGTCGCATCTCCAGCAGCACCGGCGAAGCGATTTTTGTAATGAAGGTGCAATAATGCAAAACAAACGGCGTTTTGTCAGTGCTCTGCAGGGAAAACCTCCCCTTCTTTTGCGTTTTGGAATAAGCCCAGCGTCCCCAGCTGCGTCAGGAATTGCTCCGCATCCCCTAGTCTGAAGGAGCTCAGAACTGAGCTGAACCTCTGCTCACGCTTTCTCCCCGCTGTGTTTCAGGGCCACCCTTTCATGGAGAGTCTCCGGGAGAACAAGCCCTTGCTGTGGAGCATCGTCCTTTCGGGACTCGCCATCGTGGGCCTTCTGACGGGCTCTTCGCCAGAATTCAACGAACAGTTTGGTTTGGTAGAAATCCCTACGGAGGTGAGCAGGCAGCGTTTCTCCGCGCCTCCCGCATTGCACGGGCGGTTTCCAGCGGGAACGCGGCTCTGAGCCCGTCCTCAGAGCTCTGGAGAATCTCAAGGTGTTTAGCAGAACGTCAGGCAGATGACGGCTCACGGGAGCGCTGCCTGCCTAAGCAGTTCCGAGAGAGAGGATGTGGTCGCAATCCTGCTGATGCATTGGGGAGTTTTTACAGCATGCTGTGGAATTTGTACAATTTAGCCGTTTGTACAATTTAGCCGGTTTAACAGCACGCTGCGAAAGGAGGAAGCGCAAGCTCTAGTTCAGCAGTTGCTGCGAGCGCCGCGTGGGGCAGAGGCTCTGATGAACCCAAGAGGGGGAGGAGAGGGCTAACGGGGTGTGTTTGTTTTCCCAGTTCAAGATCGTGATCACGGAAGTGTTGCTGGCTGACTTCTTCCTCGCCTTGTTAGCGGACCGAATTCTTCAGTTTCTGCTGGGGAGCGCAAAACTTCAAGTGCCTTCCTGAAAGGGATTCCGAGGTCCTCGCCCCCAGCAGCGCCGCAGGAAGGACAGCGCCCAGGGCCGTGTTCCGCCATCGCGAGAATCGCCCTTCCTTCTCTTGACGATAACTCTGACCCCGTTCGGACGCAGGCGTGGGGAAGTTTTCTTCCAAATCGCGTGGAAGCCACCTCTGTGAAAGCAGACCTGACTTTTTAATGTTTCCAGGACGCACCACCAACTGTCGGGAGTTTTGTACTGCCCTAACGTTTAAGGAAACGTTTACAGAATTTGGTAACTAAAATCAGAATCGGTGTATTTTGAAACGTGTTTGGAACTTCCTTTGTGATGTTTTTAATAGCCAACGAGGCCGAGCGCAGGAGTAAGAACAGCGACAAACCGAAGGCGAGGCCGAGGGGTAGGAGTTCGCGCGCAGCAGAAACGCTAGAACCGCCCTCGCGGGCGGTAACGCTCGGAATAAAGAGCCGTAGCGTTGACAAAGCGTAGGAGAACAAACGCTGCCAAGAACTCCTCGGCGTTACGCTGCCGTACGCGCCAGCCCCGTATTTCAAAAGCATTATAAAAATATTTTGGCAGGTGAGAAGAGAAACACGTTTATTTTTCTCCCTAAGCAATTCTTGTAATCAGATATCGATTGCAGTTCTTCAGGTACCCTGAAATTTAATCAGAGAGAGCGGAGCGCGGCCCAGCTGGCTGCCTGCCTGCAGCTTCCTTCCTCGAGGTAGACTCCGGCGCTAGCAGATGCTGGGCGGGAGCCTGGCAGCGGCCGTCCTTTCCACTACGAAAGCATAATTGTACTGCAAACGAGAAAGAAGCGGTCAGGCCAAGACCGTGGTATTTGAGAAATTCAGAATACGACCGCTCGCCGCCCCAAAAGAGGCGCACGACAAGAGCAGCCCGCTTACCTCTTTCTCGATATCGGCAAGCGACTTGACGTTCAGGTCTGAGAGGATAGCCTAAAAAAAACCAAACCCCAAAGGCACGGCGCGTTTCTGCTTAAGGTTAGTTACGAGGCGGGACTAAGCCCGGCGGCGCGAAGGAGGACTCACGTTACTGCCAGGAGCGAGCTTGCTTTCGAATCGGGGGTGTAGGGCGAAGGGCACGCCATCCATAGCTGGGAAGAGAGGGGAGAGGTGCTTTAGGAACAGCCCGGGAGCTGCTCGGAAAAGTGCCGCATAAAGCAGAGGAGCGGAAGGGGACACCTGAGCAGCCAGGAGAGTTTGAGCAAGGTGTCGGTGCCGGCTTGATTCAAGCCAGGAAAAACTTTCAGGGTGAAATCTTTAAGAACCCCTTCCTCTCAAAATTTAGCTGGGTTCCAGTCTTAGGACGGAACGCTTGTGCAGGAGCCCTCGTGCGTGAACCGACTTCCCGCCTGTATTTTGATTTTAAACTACTAAAATCCAGATCCGCTTGCTTTAAGCGGCTTCCTCGTTCGATTCCAGACGAAGAAACGTTTTACCTGAGAGGCCGTAGATGTTGGAGGTGTCGTAGAGAGATTCGTGCTGGGAAGCGCGGTTGGTGCTGCAGCGAGCCAGGGGCGACCTGCAGCGGATCAGAATTAATTAGTGCCTCTCGGGCAGCCGCTAACGAGCCCCAGAGCAGGGGACACCAGGAGGTGGCACCAGCAGTCGCAGGATTTATTTCCAGTCCCAGACCGGTTCAGGTAAGACTGGAAAAAGAAAAAAAAAAAAATTAACGAGTGCATACTTCTGGTCTGAGTCAGGGGGTTGGAGCGAGAGCTGCTTCAGGCCTGCGCCGATCGTCCGCGGTTTGGGGACGGGCTGGGGGCTGGATTTCGGAACCGGCCCTTTTTTACACCAGACGGCAAAGCTCCCCATTTCCCTAGGAGGAAAAAAGACCCCAACCCCGCTGGGTTTTGCAGCGGGGGCAGGAGCGGGGGCGGCAGCGGGACGGGCCCCCCTACCCTATTTTCGTGTGCTGCGGGAGGGCTTTGCTCTTGGCGCTCAGCTTGATGGCGAAGACGGCCGTCTCGGCGGCGGCCAGCGGCGCCAGCTTCACGTACACCCGCTT